ATTCTAAAACCTAAGAGTCTAAAATCCAAGGGGCTAAATTCTTTGTTAATACAAATCACTCACAGCCCTTCAGGCTCACGGACCCCACTGTAACTGGGGCTTGACACATTTAGAAGTTTTTTGCTCCTTCCCTTTGACATTTTAATGCACTATCTCCATTAATGTATTTCCACATCGGTGGCTCCCTGCCCATCAGCAGAATTGCGTCATACTGGCTTGAAGGAAAATAATACAGAAAAAGTGCCTTGCTGGCAAACAGCAACGGGGAAAATGAATTATAAATACACCTCCCTAAAGAACAGCTGCCGGCACACGTGTGTGTATGCGGTGTGCACATGAGACACAGACACCAGCAGCCTGTGTATACCCCAGAGGACAGACTGATCCAGTCGCTTGTAAGCGGAGCCAGCTAGTCCCAAGCAGAGGAAGACCACCGGTCAAACTCTCTCCCAAGACATTCGGCCGCTTCAGCATCAACACAGGTGAGGTGCTACTACGGATCAAGCCACCTTATGGCTAACGTTTCGTGGCAGTGAATGGGTGGCAAAGGTTAAAAAATGATGTCAGTGAGAATTCCCAAACTCCTCTTTTACTAGAAACATTCTAACAAAAGTGATTTTGGCCACCCTAGTATTTGGTACGATGTAAGTATTAAAACGTAGGTCTCCAGATTCATGGTTGTGAGAGCAGAAAGATGCCATTCCAGGCAACAATCCTAAGACTTTCCAAACGGACTCATTTTTGCTCATACTTTTTTCCCCTTAAAACTAAGAAGTCCCAGAGTTTTCCTCCTTCTGATGTTCTGTCAGTCCATGGGGGTGTCTTTCGGGGACAGCAGAAGGAAGACGCACGTCGCCTGTACCAGCCTCAGCAGGTGTATGTGCTGTGGGATTAAAGGGTCGGCTCAGGATCCTTACTCTAACGGCTCCGCTCCAGTCACAAGAACGCAAGATGTGGAATCGTTCTGGGGGGCAGGCGAAGGGTGAAAAGGACAGGGATTCAAACCCACCCATCAGGCAAGCTGTCACCGCATCCCACAAGGTGGGTGGTTGCAGAAGCAAGGACTCAGGCTGCGCAGTGGATCTCCAGGGGGACATGCCAAACACACGTGGCCCATCAGGGGAAGCACGGGGCGGGCCAGGGAGCCAAAGTCCAGGCCTCAAGTAAGAAGTAGGATCTCCACCAAGACACTGGCTGATCGCTGGTTTCTAACGGTAGAATTGCCTTTAGCCCTGACAGAGAACCGAAATTAAGACATTTTCCTTTTAAAGGGAATAATCTATTGAGACAGCACTAAATGAAAGAAGAGTGGTTAAGACCGGGAGACAGAGCCGATGCCTGGCCTGTAGCTGACAAAAGGATCCTGAGCCGGTAACTCGAAGACACTCGTCTCCTCCACCACAAAATCAAGAGGCAGAGGCCTGATGACACCTCAAGCCCTTCTAGCTCCAAGATGCTACTGCTCTGTCACCGAAAGTACATCCTCTGGGAAGGGAGAACGGAACACTTCCCTTCTGAGGAAGATACCGTCATAAAGATCCGTGCCAGAACTCTGACGCTGGTCATCTCAAGTCACCGAAGACTCGATTCAAGTTGATATACGGGGGGTGCTGGGGGTGGCAGACTTCAGGGAACCAGGCTGTACCCGGGCCTAAAGGTCTAGGGCTTGTCAGGCCCTCTGTAAGTTCACTGAAGTTGTGCATTTCCCTTGGAGCTCATTCCCAAGAAAACAATCTGGATAACTCTGATACTATCCCGATTCACACATCGGCTGTATTTGGCAGAGCGGTCAGCTGTTGGGACACTAGCAGGTGCCACTGGGAATGGATGAATGGATGCAAAACACACATCCATGGCTGAGGGAGATTTTCTTTTGTGTGTGTGTGTGTGGCCTGGGGTTCGTGGTAATGCTTCTTTAGGAAGCAACAGGCCAAAGCCTCTCCTAAACTTCTGGCCAACTTTGGCTCCCCTCTACAGACAATGTCTCAAGTCTGTCCAGCATGGTCTACAGAGCCAGACTGAGGGGGAAAGTCACCAGCCGTCCCTGAACTAGGCTTTTGATAAGGTCACTGAATATTGCCACCTCTCTCTCATGGCTTCAAAAGAATACTACCTACTAGAAATGCTTTAAAACTAGGGGCACCTGGGTGGCTCAGTCAGTTAAGCAACTGGCTCTTGGTTTCTGCTCAGGTCATGATCTCATGGTCTGTGAGTTCACACCCCACATCAGGCTCTGTGCTGACAGTGCAGAGTCAGCTTGGGATTCTCCCTCCCTCTCCCTCTCTTTGCCCCTCCCCTGCTCGTGTGCACGCGCTCTCTCTCTCAAAATAAATAAATAAACTTGAAAAAAAAAGAAATGCTTTAAAACTAAACAGCAATGCATTTTCTGAATAAAGTCTCTCTGTGTATGGCGGGCAGGGCATCTTGCAAAAATATTACGTGTAACTTATTAATTCCAAATGATTAGATGAGATCACTCAGCTGGTCCACTACCCGAGCAGTAAGAGTCACCGTATTCTACCGTAAATCCTCTGATAATCAAAAGGAATTCCTTCACTCGAAAGGTCGAAATGAAAACAACCCGATTCTCTGTTTCTTCACTTACTCAGTGCAGCAGGTGGGTTTTACCCTTAAAAAGCAAAGTAATAAGATGGCTTCCAATCAGTCACGCCTGTGTGTTTTCCTCTGTCCCGTCTCACACGCAACGAGCTGAGAAAGCCTGGAGCATAACTGCCATAATCCGTCATTTCTCACGGAGAGCTTTCGGGTTCTAATAGCACATGCATGCACACACACTCATGCGCTACACTTTTGTCACTAATCTGTCTTTTTTCAGGTTCCTTCAGAAGCTCCGGGCCCTGAGGGATTCTGACTTGGGAAAGAAGTCATTTTAACAAACTCTGCGAATGCTGTGTTTCTGAAAGGCTGGAGCCACTTCTTCCCCCAAAGAGACACTGACATTTAGTGAACCGGTTTTTCAAACTGCCGACCTGACTTCCACCCGACAGAGCCACCAACGGGGGACGAAAACGACAACAGAAGCAAAAACATGAGTTCGCTGCCACGAGCTGTTAAGTAAAGCAAAAGCATGTTGAAAACCAAATTTCTTAACCCACAGCGCTAAAACATGTACTCTACATGTTTTCTCCCATTCAAGCTTCTGCTTAAAAAAAAAAAAAAAAAGGCACAACAGGTTATATGTACTTGCAAAGTGAAAAGGAAGGAAGATTTAAAATAGAAATAAAACTTTCTTTTCTTTCCTTTTTAGAAAGAATGCTGTAGACATGAAAGGCAAAAATCAGAGCTAACAGGGATGGGGCCACAGAGATGAGCCTTCGCCAAGTGCGCTTTATAAGATTTACAAAGAGTAACTCCAACATCTATCTTTTTCTTATTTTTAATTAAAGAGGAGGTGTTGTTTTCTAAGGAAGCTATCTGGATGCTGCTGGCTGAAACGCAGATTTGATCTCCTCGTGCTGGTTAGCTAACATTGATTTTCTGCCCCAGTGGAAGAGATTTTACTCTGATGCATGCCATTTAAATTCATTTTACACAGCTGCTTAATGTGGCTTGGCAAGGCACAGCCAAACTAGCTTTGTGGGTCTAAATAGGACTCCAGAGTTGGTAAAGGACAGATCCTATGGATTAGCAGCTGATGAGGAATGCTTTTCTCCCCCTACTGTTATCTTCCTACTGACTCATGAAGTGACCTTGAAGGTACCACAAGAAGGGAAAAAAGAGGAAAAGACATCTTCCCAAAAGAAGTCTGCTTACCTAATTATATCTGTTATTTCATTTTTAGGATTATGTTTACAAAATTCTATATTTGTTGGCCCACATTTAGGACTGTGTTTACAGGATTTAGAACTCTCGCCTGCAAAATTATCGTTTGCTCTCGCTGTCTAAATAAATGTATACCGAATACAAAACTAGTGACAGGCTCTCTGTTACGTATTCATAACAAGCAGTAAAAGCATAGTTCTAGAAGTTTAGTCTTTAAACAAAGCCAGCTGACTGTTCTCTGTTTTATTTGAACCAAAAATGTGGTGTGTTTCTACTGAAACTGCTGAGCAGCATTCAGTCTACGTAGGATAATCTTACCATTGCAACATGCAAAACAGTATCAATAATAATATTTCTGCTAAGTAAATCGCTCAATAACGATATGCTTTAAGAGCACTTATGAACCTAAAAATGGTGACAGCCTGTTGCTATATAGCTTTGCAGTAGGAAAAAAGAAAGCTACTTTTTGTTGCTGTATGTAATTCCTGTGTCGAAATGGATAATAATATGGCAACACCATGTTTCGAAAGAAAATTCCGCGTTGGATTATTTGGTTGCGTTTTTCTGGTGACTTCAATATTCTAAAACTCCTTGGGAGAAGGAAAGAATAGAAATCTGCTCAGGGAGGCTGGAAAGAATCCCCTCCTAAGTCCTATTAATAACCTAAGTCCTGTCTCCTGCAGTGGGTCTCTTGTCAAACGCGGCCGCTGCTCTCTGAATTCAGGGGTGTGTGTGCGTGTGTGGAGCGGGTCACTGTCGTGGCAGAGATGACAATAACACAGTCATGATCACGGTGCTACACAACACAAGTTCCCAGACAACAGAGGGACGACAACGGGGGAGATCACGCCAGAGCGGGTGGCTTCATTACTTTTACGGAGATACAAGTTTTTCTTTCCCTCTCAGGCATGAAGGGAACAAGCCATGCCAAAAGCCATGCAGAGACAGGATCTGGGGGACAGCATGCACGCTCCCACCGCACTACCACAGTACCGTTCAGAAGAGTGAAGAACAAAACAGAACAAAACGAACCAAACCCCCGAAACAAACAAAAAGGAACGAAAAGACAACCCCCTCTGGGATGGATCTCCTCTTAGGTCCTTCACTTTCTTGTTCTGGGTGTTCCTTTCGCAGCCAGATGGCACGTTCATTAACAGTTTCAAAAAAAAAAAAAAATGCCCAGGTCCCGCAGCAAGTCAGGGTATGTTGCTACCTACCCGTACTGGTCAGGCTGGTGCATCATGGGAGCCTGAGAGTTGCCATAGTTGGGGTGCTGGGAAGAAAACATGGGGCGTCCGCCAGCCCCAGACTGGCTGGGATAAGCAGGCGACCTAATGTATGGTGGCCTAAAGCAGAACAGAAGAACAACTTCTTTGGATTTGTTCTGTAGACAAGTACGAATCCCCCTGTCCATCATGTCACCTCCACACATAGGTGCGGGGGGGCTACAGAATGTGGCATAATACTCTGTACCGTGCAGCTGCCTGGGAGGGGAGCTGGAGAACATTCCTTAAAAAGGGGGGGGGGGCGGGGTGAAGGACAGGGCAGAGGAGAGAGAAAAGTGAGATTCTCAGATGTAATCTCAGTTTACGCTGCTGAAGTGGAGCTTTGACTTCGGTACAAGCCAAAAAATACACGGGCCCTCGCTGAAAACGGGCAGTGTGTGAAGGCAGGGATTTGGAACTGCCTCCTGGTCAGAAACAGAAAAGGAAAACGCATGGATGTGGATTTATACGTTAATTTATACAAAATGATATATGAACTGATTCAGGAAGGGAGCATAACAAGACTTTTTTATCAAGCAATTATGTCTTAATATCTGTGGTTATCTTCTCCCCGGGCCGCTATCCGAGGCCTCATCGTCCAATGCAGTCAGGTACTTTCTACTTGAAAATAACTTGTGCTTCAGGAGGTGCAACAATGGACAATTAACCCTAAATTAGAGCTTCAATTGGACCAGGCAAACCAGTTTTCACGGACAGGTTTATTAAAACATTCCCTAAAGTCTGTGAGGTTCGGGTTAGTATCTGGGGTTCAGGAAATTTTAAGTAATTATAATGTGGATGAGAGAGAGAGAGGATGATTGATTTTCCTTTTGATTCCTCAAGGGAAATTTATTTTTATTTGGAGCAAAAAGGGAGACTGAAGGGGTCCCTAACATTCCCCAAATAGCAGCTTCAGAGGAAAAGTAACAAAGGACACATTTAAACACACACACGTACACACACACACATTTTTCTTTCCCTTTGACAAAAATCCGATTCCTCTATCTTTTCTTCTGAAGATACCGTAACTTCAGACATAGCTGTCAACGTGCTTTGTTTTAAAACATATTTTAACATATGTTAAACGTAATTTAAAACATATTCATAAGTGCTTCCTTTAAAACTAGTCACTTCGGTCACAAATTTTTAATTAAGTACGTTATTTTTATATAGGTTCAATATTTGCTTCAATCATTTTAGAAATCAAGATTAAAAACAAGTGATTGAGGCTAAAGCCTTGCTCTATCAGCTTAAACTTTATGAAATATTATCTTTGCTTTATTAACCACATTTTGGTTTGGACAGAGAGGTATGCCCAGAAAAATAAAATATAAGATGACATCTATAAATCTCACACGTATACATTTAGACAAACACACACGATACAAATATGTGCATAGACGAGATTTCTATTTTATAAAGATTTTTATGGTGGGGTAAAAAAAAAAAAAAGAAAAAAAGAAGGTGGTTCTTTTTCAGTGTTTTCGATCTTAAAAGCCTAGTTCTTCAGGCTTCACACTTTCCTGCCTAAACCTAGCTGTTCTAAACGGAACCATGAGATATGCCACTGCTCTGGACTGGTTATAAGGACTCCTCGCAGTCATTTCAAAGAACCTCCCACAACTCAGATTCCTTCCTCGATGTCTCCCGGAACGTGTTCTGTCGTTCACCTGTCTGTACTTTACGGTACAGAAAACATTAACACCAAAGGAACGGCCGAGCAAAATCGCACTCCACTGCTCCCCCCCACCCCCCCGCCCCGGGTGACGATGTAGCTCTGTGCTCAGCACGTGCTTACACGTCCGCACCCAGACCACCTGCCCCGACGGCATACCTGCTTTGTGCCGAGTTTGCAGCGGCCTGCATCACTGCGGCAGCTGCCTCCTGTGCCTTACGGTTCACGGTTGGCATCGGTGGCCCCATTCCTGGCCCTCCCTGCTGGGACATGCCGGGAGAGCTGGGGGTCATGCTGCTCATATTTCCAGGAAACGGCCTGTTCTGCATCCCAGCTGATGGCATTCGTCCCAGGGGCATAGCACCACACGGCTGGCTTGGCCCTTGTCCGTGCATCTGGTTGTTGGCATTGATGCCCATGCCGGGCCCTGGGCCGCTGTAGCTCGCACTGGGCACCCCACTATACGTTGGGGGTCTGGAGTAGTTACCTAAACAAAAAGTAAACACAAATTGAAGCCTTTTACTTAGTATCTGTACTTGTGAGAACGGCCACTAGAAAGACTTCTTGTCCAACAGTGTGATCAACACAGAATATTAGCCATGACCCTTATTAACCCTTCCCCTGCTGGCACCGATGAGGCTGGCTGTGGCAAAATAAGCTATCTCGGCACATTCCAAGGCAAAGAGCCACACAGGCCCGCTGAGAGAGGGAGGAGACAATCAGGCTGATCATTAAAACAACCTATGCACAGGCAAGGGATGCTAGCAGTGAGTGTTGTTGCTTCAATACACCCAACATTCACATTTCTACGTTTTACCCATAACGAGACTGCATGACTACCCCACTACTGCATGCGGCAGTCATGACAAAGGGCCAGAAAGACGGCATGTAAGACAAAATGCACATCTGGTCAAGATTATCCTCCAAAAGCCCACAGGAGGGGTCACATGGAAACTCAGCCTTGGTCCAGCAAAGCAACCAGTTTTTCTCTGGTGTTGGGAGCAGGGTTTTTGTTTTGTTTTGTTTCCGCCTTGAGCATCAGATAAAGCAGCTCGCTTGTGCTTGATGCCATGTCCTCGGAAATATGGTTTCACGTACTGGCGTGACAGTCAACGCGGTGAAGGGGTGGTGGCATCCGGGGGGGGGGCAGACAGACCCCCCCGAGCCCCCATTCACACTGGCGCATGTGCTCACAAGGAGAGCAGCAGCCTCAAGGACCCCAATTATTTCAAAAGTTTTCTCTCTCCTTCCATACCTTTTACTTTGACCGAGTGTACATACATTAAAGGCATAAGTAATGTCGTTCCAATAATAACAATTGCAGAGAGTAACTGCTGAACCGTACTGTGTTTGACATGCTGGGTTAAGTGCTTTACATCAATGGTTTCTTTCGCTTCTCCGATAACCATATGAAATACATATATAAATGACCATGATTCCATTTACAAATGAAGAAAATCAACAGCTAGTAGGTTAGGATTCAAGCTCCAGCAAAAACAGGTTCTAGGACCCATGTAATTAACCAGTACGATATGCTGCTTTCCCACAAATGATTATTGAAACAAATGTAAAAAGCATTTGCGGAACATGGATAAGCGTTTCTCAATTGATCCTTAACTGCTTTCTGGAAGAGCCTCCTTGTCAAAATAACATAACTGTTTTAGGCACAGGGGATATAAAATTAAATACAATTCAATTCCTACACTCAAGCTGCTCACCGTGTGTGTGTGTGTGTGTGTGTGTGTGTGTGTGTGCGCGCGCGCATGTGAGGTGTAGCAGCAGTGATAAGACAAGAAAAAGTATGAATACAAAACCAGAAAGATAACGTACTGTTGTAAGTGCAAGAGAATGGAGAGCAAGTCTGCTTGAGGGGGGAGGGGGTCAGCATGATAGTGTAGTTCAGCAAAGATTTCTTTGCTGGGCTGTGGCCTCAGGAACCCGTGGGGGGCAGGCCCTGGGACCTGGGAGCACTGGTGCTGAGTGAAGGCTCCACACATACTAACTACCAGACCTCAGCTCATTCTCCTCTTTCTTTTCCCATCCTCTTCTCCACAAAGCAAAGATTATCACCTCTAATATGGTCTGCTTGAGGAGTGGTTGCTAGGGTTCAAGGGCATAAAGTATGTAAAGTATTGCAAACACAGAGTCAAAATGGTAGGGGTTAGATACCTGAGCGGCGAGTAAGGCAGAAGAGAGGACAGCGTGCACACGGCACAGCCAGCCAGAGAGCAAACGATCTCCAGATAAGTCACGGAGGAGCTCTGTGTGGCTGTGACGGGGCCCCGGGGGAAGACGTCAGACCTGCATGGTCTCGTGTTCCAGGCCGCCAAGTGTAGGGTTTATTTGGAAGATAAGGAGGAGCTTCCCCAGGTTTTCCAGCAGAAACTGGATTTGACTAGTAAAAATATCAAAAGCAAATACTTAATATTTACTACGTGCTAAGCTCAGTTCCAAATTGTTTGCATTAACTCACTTGATCCTTGTATCAGGCCCAAGAGGCCCCTATTATTACACTGCTCATTTTAGAGATGAGGGACCTGAGGCACGGGACGCTGGGGGGCTTGTCTCGAGGTCATGTGCCCGACAGGCAGAGGAGCCACGGTTTGCACTCAGGTAGTCTGTGTGTGCAGTTCAGAGTCCAGGCACATCACACTGCCGTGCAGCCTCTCAGATGCTTAAGGAAAAACCACACTTACGTAACGTATCATCACGACAGGAAAACCAGGTTTTCTTAAGCCCACACATGTAAAGCAGCATGACCTACAAATCCACAAGAGATCCGTGGACTTTCAACACTGACTGGGTACTTGCTCTCTGTTAGGTGCATCACATGAGCTTTCTTATTTGGGTGTCGTGAAGAGTGTTATTTATTGCAGATGGTACGGAAGCCACCATTCACAAGGACCATGGGCCGCCACACTCTCTGTAAAGGGTTGGGCAGTAAATAGTTCAGACTGTATGGGGCAAGACAGTCTCAACTCAACTGCCTCTGTGGCTCCGACGTGGCCAGAGGCGCTGTCTCCACAAATGGAAGTGCCTGTGTTCCAATAAAACTTTATTTACAGACACAGGTGGTGGGCCAAAGTGGGCCATAATCTGCTGGCCCCTGCTATAGACCAATCTTGGGACAAACTAATGAAGTGCTCCACCAGCACGGAAAGCGACTTGTTAAAGCCAGCATTTCTTTGACCCCGGATGTCCTCTGGAAGGCTAAAGAAAGCCTAAAGAGGAATAACAGAGGAAGGCACTAGCAGTTGAAGGAACTGGAAAATGGAGAGAAAAACAAAAGAGAATAGAGGGAACAGGAAAGGTTTGATGTAAATTACTTCAGGACCACCGAGTTACATGCGGGTGGGTCTTTTATGGCCAGCTCCTCAAATTTAAACTGCCTTCTCGTAAGACGACACTCTGCCTTTGCAGAAACAAACGTATGCTGTTTCCAAGTAAAAGGTAAAACATTCACTGTTTATCAATTTCAAAGTTCTTTATAAAAAGTTCTTGTTTCAGAGTCTCCCACCCCACAGGACCCCACATAAGGTCCCCGTCTGTCTTCCCGTCACAGCATCTTGGTGGAAAGGGCACCTTATGCCTCCCCGGCTTGTGAGGGACATGGCGCGGTGGGCAGGCTGCCGTCCTGCCTCTTCCCACGCCTTCTCAGAGCGCAGTCCTCAGAACGCGTCTCTGGGGGGCAGAATTAAGATTTCTCCTCTCCGCCCTCACTGACCTCACACGCCCTCACTTCCAGACAGCCCGATAACATCAGTGAAGACAGGGCTCTTTTTTGGCTCTTGCTTTTATTAAAAATAAATCAACTCATTCACAGCTCGAATGCAAATGAAATTAATTCACATACTCATTCGATTACCAGTTCCCACCCTCCCCCAACACTTGGTAAGTGACTCATTTGGTAAGAAACCTTACTCAGTGAAAACATATGTACCCTTTGCTTTCGAAGGAAATGAAATAACACTTTAATCTTGTTTTAGAAAACAAGCATTTAGACATGCTTATATCAGACTATACCCACAGTGCGGTTTTATTAGAGAAGAAGGTTCCTGATTTTGTTGAACTCTGCTTATGGGGGGAACAGAGAAATTCCGTCACACTGGGTTCTGTACTTGGGGTTTAACTGGCAGGCAGGAGCTGTACTTTAATGATCCCAAAGGAAAGAAAGGATGGCGACGTTCGGTTACCCCGGACCTGACCTCATCTATCTCATTCGTGGCGTGTGCGAAAAAGAGCTGTGTTTCCGTGGCTTTGCTCAATTCAGCAGCCAGGCGGCGTCCTGCCATCGGGCGGTGGACGTGCTGGACCACAACCACCAGGCACACCGAGACATGCACGCAAAAGCACTTGTGCTTAGAAAGGCCCGTTGAGTACCGGGCTCCCAATCTAATTTTCCTCAATCAGTTGGGTTGATTCCATGAATCGGCACTCAAAAGCACACGTCAAGGGAATATGTTCTAATTATAGAGGCTTCTACTTGGTGGAAGAAATACAAAGTCCCCTTTTCTTCTCCTTGAAACTCTAAAGACTTTCCTCATTAAACTCACATGCCTGGATAAAAATGCTTTCTAAAGGCTTTAAATGGCTTAAGAGGCAGCGATGGACAAAGCGCAGGCTCTAGAATTTGGGTCTGAATAGCGGCCTGACCTTGGACAAGTTACTTAACCTGCCTGCACATCAGTGTTGCCATCTGTAAAGTAACGAGAGTAATGGGGAATAGGTATGGAGGGACTAGGACAGCGCCGAGCACGGAGTCCCCTACTAAACGACAGTTGTTACCACCGCCATCATCATCGACGCCCGTAACACCCTCAACAGCCACTGATCATTGATGATCTTGTCCCCATAATCTTTTAAAAGTGCGTGGAAGGAGTGAAAAAATGATTAATGCCCCTGCCTTGCCCACTCGATAACGTATCTTTCTCCTCCAAATAAATAAAAACCAAACACGTAAGCCAAGCAAAATATGGGAGGAAAAGCCAGGAATGAGAAGTGCAATCTTATTTCCATGTTTCTCTAATAGATTAGTAATTTGTTGGCACTGGTTTTGACAGAAAACAGATGGATCCAGCATTAAGCACAATGAAGGCAGCAGATGCTGGTCCAGCCCACCTCAGCTGGACGGGTCTGGCAGCCAAGTCCGAGAGCTCACGGTTTTCAAGTGGGTTCATCTTGGCACACCGGCTTTGGAAAATCGGTCACCAAATAAATTCAGATTTCAACCCACCGGGAGTTATGGTCAGGCGCCAGAGAGAGGAAGCGGGAGCTAGACTCTATTCAAGTCACCATGATTATTTCAGGGGAAGTGCAGATAATTCTGTACCTGACTCTGGAATATTTAAATTTGCTACTTACAATCAATAGTCCAAGCTTAGCGCTTTTATTGAACTATTAAGTGTTTCCACTCACATATGAAGTTTTGCTTCTCCGTTTCACCATTCAACAAATTATTTATGAGTAACTTTTACAGGCAAGGCTCTC